AAGCCGGCGTCCCCTGCTCGGCAACTAGAGGGCCGGCGATAGGAATATCCGACCTCGCCTGTAAAAACCAGCACCATGTCAAAAAAGGAAAAGGACAACATACGGGGAATCACAAAAAGCAGGGTACACTACCCACCTCAACAGCGTGGGCAGCCTGCTCGGCGGTTGGGGTCGCCACCTCGGCAACCCGGGCGACCTGCTCAACAGCCTGAGTCGCCGCCTCGGCAACCTCTCCTGCCTACAAAAGACAGCCCTAGGTCAGAAAAAAAAAATAGAATACAACAAAAAGCTGCAGAGACAAGGCACTCACCACCTCGGCAGGTTGAATAAACTGCTCAGCAGCCTGAGTTATCACTATCATGATGAAAAAAACAAAAAGCACGAAGCATCTACCAGTTTCCGTAACGGCAACGCTGTTCTCGGACACAGTTGACTTGGTTCCGGCAGAAACGTCAGACTCCGGAGTGTCGTTTTGATCACGGCGAGTCTCCACGCGAGTCCACAGCCCTTGCAACGGTCTCGCGAACGGAACGTGGAACCCTAAACGCGCAGCAGAGATTTCCTTTGAGTGAAAAAGGAGAGAGGCACGCATTCTGAAGAAGAAGGAGAAGGTTTTGTGACGTAACGTACCTCTCCTGGAGGCGGCGAAGACGGCGAGGAGAAGAGCGAGGGAAGTGCCGAAGCCGAGGAGGGCGTAGGAAGGAGATGGGGAATTGGGGTGGATGAGGGGAGGTTTGTTGACGGTGGAGTGGGCCGGGGCGTGGGGGAGGGCCCAGCCGCCGAAGTCGTCGGGTCTTTTATAATTGTATAATTTAATAATTTATAATTAAACGGATAACAATGAAATAAAGTTCCTATCTTCCGTTGGGTGTAACGTGCAAGTAACGGATAATTTTAAGAAATACATGCACGTGCACTTCTAGAAATATGTCGGCCGAAAGTTGTTGGAATGAAATGAAATTTTATTACCGGTATTGCCTAAAAGTCCCACATTGCTTAGGAGTCGAGGCTAAGAGTAATTTATAAACACTCTTCCTCCTTAACTCACCAAGATACCTTTTCAAGGATAACGTCAAAGCAAACAATACCTCGGATGTGGTCATCCTAACAATGACAACGAACTTATTATAGTAACAATTACATTTCCCAGATGGGCTGAAAAGCCCAATCTATTGCTCCTCTTTATTGATTTTTGGCTAATGATATATATACTTCTTTTTATTTTTTTTTTAATTTTAAAATATTCATAATATTTTTTATGCTTGCATTACTTCTTTGTGTAAAATATTTTGACACGTACATTTAAATATGCCCTATGATCTGATCCATTTTATTTGATGCATGGCCACACAGTGGTTGATTGGCTTCTTGAACTTTTGGCACAGAGGAGAGGTTCGCACTGTGAGGATAAGGATCTTACCATGGCATGTGTTCCTTGGCCTATACACTTATGCATTGGCAATAGCAACAGCAGAAACTGGATTGCTAGAGAAATTAACATTCTTGCAAACAAAGAGAAATGTAGCCAAACACAGCACTGAGTCCATGGTGGTTAATAGTTTAGGCTTGGTTCTTGCCCTTCTCAGTGGCTTTGTTATTTTGGCTGCTGTTTCACCTAAGTATCATACAATTCAAAACAAACTTTTGTACTCAGATACCAAGTGTTTGTCATCTTAATGAAACGTGGTAGTAAAACTTCAAATGTAACATATTTTGTCTTTTGTGATCCTTAATTAAGTTTGCATGTGTACATTTGAGTTAGATGTGAAGCAGTTTGGGTTTGTTGGTGCAAACTGCAAAATGTAAGAGGTTTTTAGGTTAAGGAGTGTAGAAGAGTAATAGTTGAATGATCGATTATTTGAGCACTGGTCATAGTTGAGAACATGACAAGTAGAACCTTCAGGAATATGAAGTAGAGGGAGGGAAAGCATAATCTTGATTTTATGCCTAAAATATAAGAGATAGGGCTTATGGAAACAGGTAAGCAATTTTAACTACTTTTAGACCTTTTAAATATGGGAAAATATGTTTTAATCAAGGCTAATGACTAAGATCAAATTACTTTATCTTTTATTAGTTTAAAAAAAGTATTTTGTGGTTATATATTTTATTTAAAAATTTATTAAAAATAATAAATAAAATTAGGATTAAGTAATAAATGAGTAGTTAACAATTTGAAGATATGAGTAGTTGCACATGGTTGACTTATGTGAGTGGTGACCGGTGAGAATAAAAATAAATTATAATATTATTTTTATTATTTAAAGATTTAAGGGTAAAATCATCTGAAAAAGATGGAGATGAAAAATGGTTATAAATAAATTTATCCCTTTCATATATAGTGTACTTCTAACTTGGACAAATTGAATCGAGCTTACAATGAGTTTGGACTAGCCAAACAGTCTAGTCGACTCACCATATTAAATTCAAAACACAATTAATAGTAGGAATTCCCATATCATATCTCCCATAATCTGGGCAATACGTCAATGGTTCATTGAATACCATGCCCAATCACAAGAGCGTATCAATAAATATCATGGATGATTATCTCCTAAAATTAGACAACAGTATAAACCATTTATACAAGGGTATCATGTATCATTCTAATCTAATATGATTCTTAACCTAAACTCCTCTCTAACTTGAATGTTGAAGTATCTTTGTAAGTGTCCCTTATTGTGTAGATATTGGAATGACGAGGATGTCATCCTACCATCGAAGCACTTGCAAATTTCAATAAGAACATTTGGTGCCCATCGTGAGGTTGAAGTGAAACTATCCACTAGTCACACATGATTTCCATTCGAAATGACGATGAATAACAACACGGTTGAAATCTCCTTAACAAACGACAATGTGGGCCCTATCCCACGGCAATGCAGGCCCTATCCCTAAACAATCGCCCCATGCCTTCGTAGTCACCGCAACCCTGCTCACGGAGCTCATGATGACCATTGCCACCATAGACCCATCTATCCTGCCACCTTATGCCGAATTACTGCAATGCATGAAGACCATGCAAAAACATAATGAAGAGGTTTTAACTGCCCTCCACCAATAACTTAAGGTTGATCCACGTACTATAAAGCTGATCGTACTTGTTACGAGCAAGAACTATAGGCCCTATGCAAAGAAAATAACAACACGCACTCAGAAACCAACATCTTCACAAAAAAAAGAATACATGATCTCGGGATCCCATTAACCTCAAGAAAGGAGCAAAAAATGCTCTGGACCCCCGCCATTTCACGCCTGACCCAGTCGTAACCAGGGATGCCTGGCTCCAGGCCCTTGGGCGGAGGTGAGTCCTTTTTCTCGACAGCGGCTTTCCCGGTAGCCGCCGCCTTGCCGCGCGCCTTGCCCCTGGCAGGCGCAGAAGAACCGGCACCACTTCCACCAGCCATTAAAGAAAAAGAAGATTTGGGAAGAAGAAAAAGAAGATCTGGGGAACAGAAAAAAGAAAACTGTAGAAAGGAAGTACTTGGTACTCTTCCTCACAAAACAACCCTAATAATGACGGGGTTACCGGAAACGGCGGCAGAAACTGTGAAAACAGCGTCGGAGACTGGACGGAAGCGAAGGTGCACAAAGCAGATTGTGCAAGAAGCCAAGGGAGAAACAAAACGAAAAGAGTAAAGTGAAAGGTGAAGAGGCACGAGTGAGAAAAAAGAACATTTTCTCCCAAATTCAAAACGGCCACGCCACGTGTCTGCCAAGGGGCACGTCTGACGACACATTAATGGAAAACCATCATTACATAATCGTCACTTCCATTAACACGCCACGTGGCGTCATCGCGGCACTTAAATAGATCCCGACGAGCTCAGTCTTAACTCCTCGACCTACAGTCTTCGAAGCTCGGGGGGCTAGTGTACTATCCGTACTCCGAAGCCGAACTCCGAGCTTGGTACCACAGCACGAGTTGACCTCGGACACGCGCCACGCGACATCAGCTCGGCACTTAAACAGATCGTAACTAATCTCAAGGAATCCCGGTCTAGGCGAGATCCTCTACCTAATCAAATCACAACTAATCTCAGGCCCAAGGCCCAACGCAACCCTAACATACATTAAGGTACATGCATTATATATACGAGATTCATACTCATACAAACCCTAACTTTAGCATCGGAATCTCTTTTGCAGGTACCACCCCCATCTTGGAGCATCAAGCATACCAGCGAAAGAGGTTCACCGATCTTACCTGGCAGATCAGCTCTACAGCAGATTTCCGGTAAGAACATATTACATCTCACATTTAAGTGTCGATGATAGACCAAAAAAATTCTACTATTACAAAAGGCTTGACCCTGCATAGTCTTTTCTCTTTGATATCAGATAAATAATAAAAAATGTGAATGTCAAAGAACATGCCACCTCAATTAATAAACAACTCGATATCATTCTGGTTCACCCTTTAAATCATTTGAGAGTTGGACCCTTAATTTGATTAGAAAAACTTTGACCAAAATATATCTGTCGTTTAAATTAAATTTAAAATTAATAATCACAATGGAGAGATTATAACTGTTCATAGAAATATTTAATTCCATGATTTTTTTGCATTTGTAAATCATAAATAACCCTCTATATAGAAAAATGTATTACTCTCATTTATTTTATATTGTTGAGACATCATTCTTATTATTAAACTTTAGGCTCCTTTCTTTCTTCTCCACTATGGTTGATTTCTTCTTAATTTTATCAATGTAATTTTTAATGAACCGTTAAAAAAATGTAACAGATATAAAGCATATACAGATTAGTTACTGACATGTTCATAACAAAAAAAAAGTGAATGGTATACTTCATACAGTTTAATCATCATCATTTCTGTCTATATATGCATATAAGGAGTATCTTTTTTATCATCACTCTTCTGACTTTGAAGAACACGCAGTCTCATTATTCCAAACATCCCCAGCCCTTTATTTTTTTTTTTAAGGACGCTCGAGGAAGAGGAACTACAATTAATAACAATATTCTCAGTAAAACATCTTAATAGTTTCTTCATAATTTTATAAAAATAATTACTGAACAGAAATAAAACCTTTTAATTAAATATTAAAAAATATACATGCATGTTTTCATTAAACAAATATATACTAGAAATTGTTAATTAGTATATATATATGTTATTAAAGTGAGGAGTTGATGATGCTGGTTTGTTACCAGTGGTCGGTTATGTGGGGACGCAGCACATGACGATAACTGAATCGTCACCATCCCATTCCAAGTGATAATCATGATGCCATGCACGAATGTACACTCTACTTTCTCAAAATCTGAATAGAGTGAAGAGAAGAAAACAAACAAACAAACATATTATACAAGAAGAAGAAAACTTCAAAACAAAACAACCCCTATTAGCAGTTGCTGCAGCCATCACATATGTTTGAATTTAATGCAGATATGGCATTTCTCTCCTCACAGAGCAATCAATGCCTCATTTTCCATGTTAGTGGCATCATATAAGGTTTTTCTTCCCACGAAAAAGATCCTCCTCTGCTCCTTTCCCTAACCAACTCTATTCCTTCTCTCTCTTTGGATTCAGCACAAGCAAACAAGTACATGTACAAACACCACGTTATACCATTACCTCATTGCTTCATGATGATGACCCAATACAACATTATAACCAATGACATTTTTCACACACCAAAAACCAAACCCAAAAGCAAATAATACTAAGAATAATGCCTCCAACACTCTCTCTAAGCCTCATTTACTAACACTCTTTTTAACATTAGTTGAAAGTTATTAAAAATCATAAATTTTGTAGGTCTTACCTTTCATTTAATAATAAAACCCACCAAAAGTTATGATCTTCAATCGATAATAGTAAAAAAAATATTAGAAAGAGTG